CACACATATATATATATATATATATATATAAATTATTGATGATAACATGCATGATTAAGCCACTATGCAGTATATTCTGGATGGGAAATCACATTTTGAATGCTGTGACGATGCTTAGGGAATAAATGTAGATTAATTAATTTTAAAAAAGTTTCAGGGGAAAAAAATTTGTTCTAAGAATGCATGTTCTTCATAATATTCTCTATAACATATAAGGATGAAATGTTTTAATAAAGTATAGTTCATCCACACACACGAAAAAGAGTATAAAAATCATGCTCACTTTGGCAGCACATATACTGTGATTGGAATGATACAGAGAAGATTAGCATGGATGACATGCAAATTCATGGAGTGTTCCATATTTAAAACAAAAAAGAGTATAGAAATCATCAGGGCCTCAAAGCAGACTTTAACCTACTTTAAAAACCATTTTTCTGGGACCAGCAGTTGGTGTAATGGCTATGTTGCTGGACTCCCATGTAGTCGACCGTGAATCGAGTCCCGGACCCAGTGGCTTAAACTCACAATGGGTGCATGTGCGTGTGTGCCCAAGATCCCGAGAGGAGAATGGAGAAGGGATTGCGGCGTGGCCATCCCCCCTGGGGGGGGATTTCTCGCTTTCTGTCTCTCTGTCTCTCTCTGTCTTTCTGATAAACTCACGCGCCCTATAGCGAAAACCTCTCCAAAAAAAACACGTAGTTTCAAAGCTTTCTACAATTTGCAGACAGATGTGGTAGGAAGAAAAAAAAACTCAACTTCACAGGGGTTTTGAAAACTTTTTGACTTGAGGCACAGAGAGTGAGGAGGAAACAAATCTTTTTCATAAGTCAACATGCGACCAAAGTTTTATCTTTCTGAGTATTAAGGTGAAGCATGTTCATTGTGTGAAAAGAACTAAAAACTCATACATAATTACCATCATCTAAACCACTGTCAACATTTTGGTGCAGTCTATATATTTTTCACACAAAATTTGGTTAATGTTGAGTAAATTATTTTGTATCATGCATTTCAGAGTTTGAGTTTGGGGAACCAATATATGGCATAACGGTTATGTTGCTGGACTCCCACGTAGTCCGCTGTGGTTCAAATCCTGGACTTGGCAGCTTAAAACTCATGCTGAGTAGGTGTGTGTGCATGCCCAAGATCCTGTGGGGAATGGGGGAGAAAGGATTGCAGCGTGGCCATCCCCCCTGGGGAATGATTTCTCATTTTCTGTCTGTCTCTCTCTGTCTCTCTAGGAAACGCACGTGCCCTATAGCAAAACCAAAACTCTCAGAGTTTGAGTTGGTTCTCTTGGTAACTAGTTGGGATCCAAGCCAGGATGTTGTAGTAATGATTCTGATGAAGGCTTTGCATCAAGCTATTCAGTTTTTCAAGAAAGAAGGAATTTATTCACAGTTTAATAGCTGTAAAAACTCATGGTTATAGTAATTCAATGATCCATTCATCAGAATGGATTCCCTGGGGCCAGCAGGTGGCATGCTGGTTAGGGTGCTGGACTCTCACATGGCTGACCATGGTTCAAGTCCTGGACTTGGTAGCTTGAAAATCATACCAGGTTGTGTGTGTGTGTGTGTGTGTGTGTATGCCTCAAATCCCAAAGGGGGACTTGAGAAGGGGATGCAGTGTGGCCTTCCCTTCTTGGGGGATGATTTCTCTCTTCCCTCTCACTGTCTCTCTCTCACGCACCCTACGGCAAAAATCTTTTTTTTAAAAAAGTGAAAATAAAAGAGCGCTACCTACTTACCACTACCTGTCAGTGAATTCTGACAACTTTTGTTTGGAATTTTAAAATTCTGCTCCTCCTAGCTGTAAAGAAAACATATTACTACTTAAGTAAATTAGTAAGTGACCCTTGCAAATAGAGGAAATGAGGGTCCCTGACAGGGCTCTATCTGTACGGTAATTCAGGACACATTGATGACAGCCAATAACGGACACATTGTGCCTCTGAGTGCAAGGTGACTGGACTCACACGCAAGAGGAAGAAAGCGGCACGTCCTCATACAAGGGGCTCCTTGCTGAACACCAGCTTACAACTCGACTTTCAGACCTGCCTCCCGGTGTTGGGAACGAAGACTTGTGTGGCAGCCTTGGGGTGAGTGAGCTGACCAGAGTACAGAACAGGCCTTCTGTCGACGGTGCGGGAATGCACAGGGAGTTTCCAAACCTGCGTCGTAACAGGGGTCTGGCACCTGAAGTCTAGTTTGGTTGTTTTTCACTGAATCCTTAGTTATAAAACTTACTTTATCATTTAAGCAATACAAAGAAGATTAAGGAGAATGATAAAACGGCAACCGTAACTAATGTGTCTCGAGTACTGACTTTAAGTCCAAGCCCATTGTCACGTTGTCATAGCAAGATAACATATTACCTTATGTAACTCCCCACCCTGTAATACAGGCAGGGCTATCTTACAGAAGAGGGGCTGGAGACAACCCAAGTGCAATGCGCCCCACAGATGCCCCACAGGTGCAATTCTTGACCCGGCTGATCAGTTCTACTTACGTTTGGCAGTCCGTAGAAAAAGTGGCGCACCTTCACCATCAGGAGCAGCATCAGCCCTGCGCCTACCAGAGATGCAAACTGAGGAGACAGAGCCGGTTGGAGAGAAGCCATCAGGAATGTACGGGTCTCTGTCTGCAGCCAAGGCCTTCTGCTTGGCGAGAAGCATATCATTTTTTTCTTAAAAGGAGTGGGGTTCAGAATAAGTGCATTTTTGCTGAACTGGCATTTTTCTAGTCTTACCAAAATGCTAATACACATACTGGGACCAGCATATGGCATAATGGTTACGTTGCTGGACTTCTAATACATGGCTGACTATGGTTCAAGTCCTGGACCCGGCAGCTTGAAACTCATGTCGGGCGCATAAGCGTGCGTGCCCAGAATCCTGAGAGGAGAATGGAGGAGACAGGATTGTGTCATGGCCATTCCCTCGGGGGGGGGGGCAATTTCTCACTTTCTGTCTCTCCATCTCTCTCTGGCGAGCACATGCACCCTATAGCATAAACAATCTCTCTTAAAAAAATGCTAAACATATACTAGGTGCTCAGTAAAAACTTGTTGAATAAATGTGTGAATGCACTCTGAAAAGTTCCAGATGTCCTGAGTATCAGAATCCTTATTGCCAGGGACCAACAGATGGCATAATGGTTATGTCGCTGGACTCCCACGTAGTCAACCGTGTTTTGAGTCCCAGAGCTGGTGGCTTAAAACTCATGCCGGGCGTGGTGAAAAAATAATACCAACGTAATATAATCACTTATAAATGTAGGTGAAAAACTCACGCCGGGCGTGTGTACGTATGTGCCCAAAATACTGAGAGGAGAATGGAGAAGGGATTGAGGCATGGCCTTCTCTGGAGCAATGATTTCTTGCTTTCTGTCTCTCTGTCTTTCTGGCCAGTGCACATGCTCTATAGCAAAAATTGCTCTCTAAAAAAAAAAATCCTATTGCCCCGGCTCTCATGCTATGAATCTGAAGTCTCCTGTGCATCTCCTAATTCTAACCTCTCCTTGCACAATTTAGAAAAGCCTTTGGAGACTCCTCACTGATAGCCCTAAAATCCCCACTGTACACACAAATAACCCAGCCCTCACTCTTCTTATTCAGAGCTCCGATACCTTCCCTTCTAACAACTCCAGTGGTACTTCATCTTTAAAAATGATAGGGTCCAGCAGGTGGTGGACTTCTATGGGGTCTATCGTAGTTCGAGTCCCAGACCCAGCAGCATGAAAATCATGCTGGGCATGTGTGCGTGCATGCCCAGAATTCTGAGAGGAGAATGGATGAGATGAAATTGCAGCATGGCCATCCCCCCCTAGAGGGTGACTTCTCACTTTCTGTCTCTCTGGAGAGCACAGGTACCCTATGGCAAAAAATCTCTTTCCAAAAAAACTCCAAAAAACAACGATGATAATCACGTCCCCTTTCCTGCTTCAGTTTCCCCTTGCTTCAATCTAAAAGAGCTACAGATGTGAGCGAGTGCTATAGGTGGCAGCCATGGCTCCCATACCTGCTTGGTGGACTACTGTGGGCAAATTCGCACCTGGCGAATAAAGGCGGAAGAGTAAAAAATATAGTTCCCTTCATATAACCCTAAGGCTCTCTGGACAGTCTTGAATTTATATAATCTATCAATACATTTACATTTTTTTTTGGAGAGATTTTCACTGTAGGGTGCGTGCGCTCGCCAGACAGACAGAGAGAGACATAGAGACAGAAAGCGAGAAATCACCCCCCCAGGGGGGATGGCCACGCCGCAATCCCTTCTCCTCCATTCTTCTCTCGGGATCTTGGGCACGCACGCACACGCGCCCGGTGTGAGTTTTAAGCCACCGGGTCCGGGACATGAACCGCGGTCGACTACGTGGGAGTCCAGTGACATAGCCATTACGCTAACTGCTGGTTCCCAATACATTTACATTTTTAAAAGTCCCTAATAGAAACAAGAATATGAAACAAGACTCATCCTCCAGTATGATGGAGAGTTTGGGGTGGGAGTTATAGAAAAGCTGTAACTATTGAAACAAATCAAATAATGGCATGGACAAGCAAGAACTGAGGGAGGCCTTCGGATCTAATCCATTAAGCAACAGTTCCTAAATTCCAATCTAAACCAGCAACAATTCCCTAGTTTTAAAAAAATTATCCGAGGATTGGGACCAGCAGATAGTGTCATGGGTACGTCACTAGACTCCCCATGGAGTTGACCGTGGTTTGAGTCCCAGACCTGGTGGCTTGAAACTCACACTGGGCACATGTGCGTGCATGCCCAAAGTCTCCAGAGGAGAATGGAGGAGAAGGGATTGAGGTGTGGCCATCCTCCCTGGGGATCATTTCTCACTTTCTGTTTCTCTGTCTCTCTCACAAGCACACACACCCTATAGCGAAAATTTCTCTCTCAAAAAAAAAAAAAAAAAAGAGAAAAAAATTACCAGAGGATGTGTGTGCTTACCAGAGAGAGCCTTAGAGAAGCAGAGAAGAAAGAGCGAGAGGAAGAAAGACCACTCCCCCAGAGGGGTGTGGTCATGCTCAATCCCTTCTCCACCTCTCCATCCTGCTGGGATTAAAGGCATGCATTTACAAATACCCGACATGTTTTTCAAGCCACCAGAGCTGAGATGTATTTTTTTTTTTTTAAGAATTATTGATTTAATTTAACTAACTTAATGATTCTTCTTCAATTTGATGGGAGAGAGAGTGAGAAAGCAAGCAAGCTGCCAGGTCCAGGACTCGAATCATGGTTGGCCATGTGGGAGTCCAGTGCCTTAACCACCACAGCACCTGCTGGCTCCCAGAGCTGAGATTTCAAACACAGATGGCCATGTGGGATCTGGATTCCTTAACCATGAGGCTGTGACCGGCCCTCTGAGTTTCCTCTTCATTTTTTTATGTGGGGGGGAAAACCCTTCTCACTGCGTTCCCACTCACTCCTCATTACTATTTGCCATGGAAAAGTGTCATGGAAAAGAACAGCAATTCAAACAGCCATCCTACTTTCTTCCTTCCCCACCCCGGCTGGGGCACGGCTGACAGGAGAGGCAGACGTGAGAGCAGCGCAGGAGGAAGGAAAGGGGTCGTTGTGGCTGACACTCAGGGAGCTCGGACGGCCAGCAGTTCACACGCTGTGGGACAGAAGCCCTCTGGCCTCAGGAGGCCCTCTGGCCTGCCTGTTGCTGCACTGAATCTAGGGCTCCAGCTTCAGTTAGTCTTTGCCGGCGCAATAGAGAAAAAACAGAACAAAACAAAGCAAAACTAATTTGTGCAGAAAAATATACCCCACCTTTTCTTTCTTACCACTTCTTTTCTCAAAAAATTCTTCTGATTATTTCTAAGGAAACAGAGATGAGCAGACACCAGAATAAACTGTATAAAGCCTAGATTTATGCGAGTCTACACCAGGCACTGAATCTAATTAAATCAGCAGCTCAGAGAGGGTTGGGAGTCCTGCTAAGAACTGTGTGTCCCTTGGGGAGCCGGCAGGTGGCGTGGTGGTTAAGGCGCTGGACTCTCACATGGTCGACCACAGATCGAGTCTGTACCTGGAGACTTGCTTTCCCACTTTCCTTCTCTCTCTGTCTTTCTCTCTCTCTCTCTCTGTCCCGCTCTGGTCAAATTAAAAGAAAGAGAAAAAGAAAGAAAATAAAGTCCAATAAAATAATTCTTTAAAAATAGTTAAAAAAAAGAATTGTGTGTCCCGCACAGCTGCATGTTTAGAGTGGGCTTTGGAATCAGAAGCCGGTGCTCAGGGTTCTGGGCCTCGGGATGAGGCTCCCCCCCCCTATCACAGCCTGGCCAGAGTCTAAAGACAGCAAGTGCCCTAGACCTTGACATCTCCTAAACATCCCTCTGCTTGCTGCCTCTCCAGGCTTTCTTTTCTTTTTGTTTTTCAATAAAGTTTATCTCTTTCTTGAGAGTTAGAGACAGAGAGGGAGAGGGAGAGAGAGAGGGAGAGAGAGAAAGCACCTGCAGTGGGGTCCACATTGCGTTCCCCACCCCCGTCCAGCTTTCCCAGCCAGCCAGGATCTTGGACATAACCTGGGAAACCTAACTCACGATTGCACGTGGATCCAGCTTCGCTCAGGCCGTGCATGACTGCTGCCCCGAGCCCTCCCAGGCTTTGAGTGTGAACAAGGACTGACTCTGCCTTCTCCCCTGGGATTCCCATGGCCACTATCGACACGCGTACCCCCAGAAACCCACTGGTCCATACGCGTGGGCTCCATGACGGAAGGAGGTAGACTGCTGACACCTGGCTGGCACTAGGGTCCTGGGATAGAAGCTATGATTTATTGTTATATTTTTTAATGAGGAAGAGGAACAGAGAGAGAGAAAAATATTTTTGACAGGATCTTGCCACATCGTGGTCCTCCTTGCCAGCCTCCCCGTTGGCTAGGACCGCAGGCATGCACTGGCTATTTAGGATGGTCCAGGAACTAAACCTGAGCCTCCCCTGCAGCCCCAGCCTCTCGCGGCTGCACTCTACCATGTGCGCCGCCACTGCCGGGCCAGAAGCTTCTGAGTATCTCGTAGGTAATAGGCATGTGACGGACGCTATTCATATCTAATTTCATTCTCCCCATTTTACAGATGATGACTGGAGTCTGGGAAAGCAAAAGCGATACACCCAAGGCCACACACATCTCGGAAGCCAGAGTCAGTCATCTGACTCCAAAAGCTGGGCTCTCTACCCTGTTCCATTGGCTTCCTCCAAAAATACAACAATCTCTTTTATAATAGCTCATTTTTAAAGCAATTCTGAGAGCCTGAGGACAGGAGGAGAAGCTGGGAACAAAAAAGGAGCCTGATCATGGACAGCACTGAAGTACAGTGTCAAAAATGAGTGAGCAGAGGAGCCGGCAGGTGGCGTGATGGTTAAGGGTGCTGGATTCTCACATGGCCAACCCTGGTTCGAGTCCCAGACCTGGCGGCTGGCTTTCTCACTTTCTGTCTCTCTCTCACTCTGTCCCTCTCTGGTCAATTTAAATAAATAAATAAAGAGGGACCAGCAGTTAGCATAATGGCTATGTCGCTGAACTCCCATCTAGTCAATCACAGTTTGAGTCCTGGACCCGGTGGCTTAAACTCACACCGGGTGCGTGTGCGTGCGTGCCCAAGATCCCGAGAGGAGAATGGAGGAGAAGGGATTGTGGCGTGGCCATCCTCCCTGGGGGTGATTTCTCGCTCTCTGTCTCTCTCTGTCTTGCTGAAGAGCGTACGCACCCTATAGCAAAAGCCTCTCTAAAAAGAAAGAAAGAAAGAAGAGAAAGAAAGAAAGAAAGAAAGAAAGAAAGAAAGAAAGAAAGAAAGAAAGAAAAATTAAAAGAAAGAGAAATGAGTGAGCAGAAAGATGGGGTGGGGGACGCTCCAGCTGGCTACAGGCCTAGGACTTCTCATCTCCGTGCCACGGGCCAGGCCTGCCTACAACTCAGGCCAAATGTGTGAGCAGAAGGGCCAATAGGTTTTGCTGCAGCCAGTGGAGGGCACTGTGTTCTAGACAGGGAAGAACTGAAGTAAAACCCAGACACGTACACGTAGTTTGTACTTACGCCAGATAAATAATAAAAATAGGGCCAGACTGTGGCCTGGTGGCTCAAGGTGTCTAGATCCCTCATGACCAACTGCACAGTTCAAGTCCTGGACCTGACACGCTTAGGAAAAACATGCTGGGCACGTGTGTGTGCGCGCCCAAAATCTTGAAAGGAGAGAGAAGTGGAAAAGAGACTGGTGTGACCATGCCGTATCGAAGGAGCTTTCTCACTTTCCTCTTTCTGTCTTTCTTTGAGTGCATGTGGTTTCTGGTACAATTTAAAAAGTGAAAAATAAAAATACGTGGCCAGCAGGCAGTGTGGTTAAAACGCCAGACTCCTACATGGCCGACTGCAGTTCAAGTCCCAGAACTGGTGACTTGCTTTCTCACGTTTCCTCTCTGATTATCTCTCTCTGGTGAGTGCACATTCCCTATAGCAAAATAAAATAATAATAATAACCAAGAAACGAAATTAAATAAATAATTCTTAAAAAAAAAAAAACAAAAAAAACGACCTGCCTCAGTGGCAGGGGGGCTGCCCTGCCTCAGTGGCAGGTCCCTTTTGAGAGGGTCAGAGCCAGCCCCAACCTACTTCTCTTTCCAGGAGTTAGGAGTAACTTTGAAGAAGTGGGGATATTCTCAGGAAGAGCGACTCTGAAGTCCCCAGAAAGAAGGGGGTGAGTGTGGGGTGTGAGTGCTGTCGGATGAAGAAGTCTGAATGAGTCTCGGGGGCTTTTCCAGCCTAGACTGGAAATGCACAGTGGACCCTGGGCAGCTCCCGTGTGTGGGGCCAGTGGCCGGTGGCATTCCCTGCTTGGGCCAGCCCTTTGCTCCAGGCCTTCCCAGCATCCCTAGGGACAGGCCCACTGTGGAGGGTCCCCACACTGCAGTGAGGGGCCACTGGTGGGGAGTATGCCACGCAGGGAAACAGCAGCTGTAGAAGACAGGGGCAGCGTCTCCGGCTGCGCTGAGGCCCGCACTTTCCCTCCCTGTTTCTGGCTCTCTCTGCTGAGCACCTGTGCCCTGGGCAAAATTTTAAAAAAGAAAAAGAATCTCTGCCTGCATTTACACAGAATTTGCCTGTAGAGTGTTCTTCACCATCATCCTCTCTTGCCCTCTGCCCCTCTCCCCTAAACGTTTCGTTTACTCATTCAGGAGACCTAGAGAGAGCCTGACCTAGATCATTTGCTCTGTGTAAAAGTAGAATGACAGAAATCCCCAGCTCTCCTAGACGAAGAGCTGATTCCCTATGAAGAAAACTCTGGGACCAGCAGTTGGCGTAATGGCTATGTCGCTGGACTCCCATGAAGCCGACTGCGGTTTGCATCCTGGACCCGGTGGCTTAAACTCACGCAGGGCACGTGTGCGTGCATGCCCAAGATCCCGAGAGGAGAATGGAGAAGGGATTGCAGCATGGCCATCCCCCCTGGGGGGTGATTTCTCACTTTCTGTCTCTCTGTCTCTCCGTCTGTCTGGCAAGTGCACACGCCCTATAGCAAAAACCTCTCCAAAAAAAATGAAAACTCGTTGGAGGCTAGCAGCTAGTGTGGTAGCTAAGGTGCTGGATCCCACATGCCCGACCACAGTTCCAGTCCTGGACTTGGCGGCTTGAAAGTCGCGCTGGGCATGTGTGTGTGCGTGCCCCAAATCCTGAGAGAATGGAGAAGAAGGATTGCAGCGTGGCCATCTTCCCTAGGGGGATGATTTCTCACTTTCCCTCCTTTCCCTCTCTCCATCTCTCTCTCTCTCTAGCAAAAACTGAAAAAAAAAAAAAAAAAAAGGAGAAAAGAGAGCCCCTTGCACGCCCTTTGAGGACGTCAGGAAAATAGCTGGTTTGCTGCCTGGGTGGGCAGAGTTGCATCGGCGCTTTCATAGACGAGGCATGAGAGTGCATCTTCACATAGGAAAGAACAGCGAATAGATGGTGGGACGCTTACTCGAAACATCGATAGCCTTCAGTCACATTACATACAAGTTTTGTTTTGTGGACTAATATAGAGAAACCTCTCATGTTTCTATAGAAAGAGATGTTAAAGTTTTACATCGACAAAGAGCTTTGAAGAAAAACCTAAGCATAAATGAAGGCAAATGTAGAATCCAAATTCCATGAGGTCTTCCCCAGCAAACATAACATTAAAACAGCAAGATTAAACCCGTACAGTCCCTCTCTGGGAATAGCGATATGAACAGACAGAAACATCCTATGTATTAGAAATCAAATTCTACTTCAACACACCTGTTGTCTTCCTCCAGATTTGTCCTGGATGATCGTCCGGGCAACAGCACCAGTAAACACACAAGCTCTGAAAAATGAACTGACGACGTTGCAAAGGCCGATGGCTATTAAGTCCTGTCAAGAAATGGTAGGCATCGTGGGCACCCTCTGAGGAATGCTGATTTGATTTCTGAGCTAAATGTGTGCTGCTTTCTTTTCTTTCCTTGGACGTGAACATGGGATTTTTTTTAATATCACTTCAACTAATAGGATTGAAATTATGTTAGAAATCAGCAAAGGATGACACGTCTGATTTTTTAGATGAAACTGAATCTTCATTTTAGCTGGTGATCATAAAGAATGGACTTCTTTTTTAAGAGAGATTTTTACTATTGGGTATGTGCACACGCCAGAGACACAAGAGAGAGACAGAAAGCAAGAAATCACTCCACAGGGGGGATGGCCATGCCACAGTCCTTTCCCCTTCACTCTCCTTTTGGGATTTTGGGCATACACACACACACACACACACACACGCACACGCACACTTGGCTTAAGTCTCAAGCCCTCATGTCCAGGACTCAAACCATGGTTGACTATGTGGGAGTCCAGCGACATAACCATTATACCATCTGCTGGCCCTGAACTTTTTTTTTTTTTAAAGAATTATTTATTTACGTATTATTATTGTTTTTAAATTTGCTACATAACATGTGCACTCACCAGAGACAGAGAGAGAAAAAAAGAGGGAAAGCAAGAAAGCAAGCCACCAGGTATAGGACTTGAACTGTAGTTGGCCATGTGGGAGTCCAGCGCCTAAGCCACCACACCACCTGTGGGCCCAGGAAAGGACTTTTGCAAGGAGAGAAAATGAGACTCTTGCTCATTTGATTCTCTTTCATATGATCACCAGGACTTAGAATGACAGGGAACGGTACAGGGTTGGTCTTCTCTCTTCCTTTGACAACCTCTCATTTCCATATTTTCTTCTCAAGTTCTAGAAAAAGGGCCAAACTCACAGTATTTTGAGTTTTCTATAAAAAATAAAAACAAAAGCAAAAGATAAAGACTATATTTAGGAGACCAACTTAATTGCATTAGTAGCCTGGTTTTAGATGATATTCCACAGTATTTCCTATTGTGTCAGTATGTGGTAGATTGCATTTATTTTTAAAGAATTATTTACTTTATTTATGATGATTATTCTAAAATTTGACCAAAGAGAGACAGAGAGAGAAAAGGAAAGTAAGAAAGCAAGCTGCCAAGTCCAGGACTTGAACCACAGTCAGCCCTGTGGGAGTCCAGCACCTTAACCACCACACCACCTGCTGGCCCCATGATTGACTTCTAAGGACGTGGCGCCAATTAAGATAAAATGAAGAGGAATTCTGTGAGTTGAACAATGTAACACCATGTGTTCCTTTCTTGCCTCTGTACCACGTGTGTTCTAAGAGAGCAATATTCATGTTAATTCCAGTGACTTCAAAGGTAAGGACCCCTCACCTCCCCAAATCCTTTCATGATTAAAGTCCAAATTATAGTCCAGGCGACTCTCTGGTTAGAGATTTCAGAGTTCATGGTGGCAGGAGGCTCAGCCCAGAGAGCAAGCATTTAAGGGCCGGAGGAAGTAATGGTCCTCTTACCTGGTTGGAATTGACATTGTAGTTATGGAGAGCGGCGATCTTCTTGCCCAGAAATATGAGCAGAAAGGAGCTCACCAAAGACAAGGAGATGGCTTGAAAGACAACCTCAGGCAGAATGCTGAAATCTGGTGTTGTGGGGAACAGAAAGCTGGAGGGGAAGAGCTTAAGAGCGGAATTATTCCTGGTGAGCGAGTTCCTTATTGGCACCCTCCCCGAGCATACGTTTCTTACTGGGTAGGCCCAACCTCTTCCTGCCTCCCACCACCTCTTTTTTATTTTTTAACCGTTAATTATTGGGGGCCAGCAGATGGTGTGGTGGTTAAGGTGCTGGACTCCCACATGGCCAAGCATGGTTCGAGTCCTGGACCTAGTTGCTTGCTTTCTCACTTTCTCTCTCTCTGGTCAAATTAAAATAACAATAATTAATAAAATGAAATAAGTGATGCCTAAAAATAATTATTTAATTTTTATTTATCACTATTATTATTTTTACAAATTGGTTACAGGGCATGTATGCTCACTAGAGAGAGACAGAGATAGAGACTGAGAATGAGAAAGTAAGCCACCAGGTCTGGGATGCGAACCACGGTTGGCCACATGGGAGTCCAGCACTCTAATTACCACGCCACCTACTGGCCCCCACCACCTCTTTTTAATAACACAATAAGAGATGGAACAACCAAGGAGCAGCCTGGCAAATCTGCCAGTAAATCAAGCCAAGTTACAACAGGCATTAGGAGAATATGCTCAGGTGTGTTCTAGTTTGAGGTTTCTGCAGTGTGGCAGTGGCAATGCACAGGACGGTCAACGCCTCCCAGAGTCAGGACCTGCTCAAGACCACACCAGCAGGGTAACCACAGGCAGAGGTCACACCTGGGAAGTTCTAGACCTAACAGCTCGATGAATTCCCTTCTACTCACACTTCAATCCTTCATCATTTCAGTCATGTTTCTTTATGTAAATCATTTCAAATTCTTTTCATTAAAGAACGATTTATTTAACTTTATTTATTTATTTATTTTAATTTGACCAGAAAGGGACAAAGTGTGTGTGAGAGAGAGGGAGAGAGAAAGTGAAAAAGCAAGTCTCCATATCCCAGACTTGAACCGTGGTCGGCCATGTGGGAGCCCAGCGCCCTCAACCACCGTGCCACCTGCCGGCCCCAATCACTTTCAAATGCTACCCACAACATCCCTCTTATAGTTTTGAGGCCACCAGAATGTTGAGACTTGCTCGTTTTGCTGACAATTGTGGTCGTCTACTAGTTGAATATATTCTACTCCTACTAAGATCGTATCCGATAAAACGTTGCTGAACACATACACACCATGACCAAAACCTCTTTCTGGGTGTATCTCCCTCCCTTTTGTTAAGGAGGAGACTCTACTGGCTTAATACAACCGACTTTGTCAGTGTTAGCGTCAAACAGCTGCGTGAACCACGGAGGAACGTACTGATTCTCCCAGGAACGCAGGCTCGTTTACGCCTGAATCGGGTTAGTCATTTTACTGTTGCCCAGGGGGTCTGTGAAGTCAGCTGCAGTGTGGTTAGTTGTAGGCTGCAGTTTCTTAGGGGTCAGAGATGATGTTTTGGGTTCCCTTTAACCATCATAGAACCAATCATAAATGTTTGGTATTTTATTTTATTTTTAAAAAAATATTTATTGGGGACAGTAGTGAGTATTGTGGTTATAAGGCACTGGGCTCCCATGTGGTAGAGTTCCATGTGTGGACTCTTCTGTGTTAGAGTCCTAGACCCGGCAGCTTGAAACTCAGGCCAAGCACATGTGTGTGCGTGCCCAAGATCCTGAGAGGAGAATAGAATAGAAGGGATGGCTGTGTGACCATCCTCCGTAGGGGGTGAGTTTTCACCTTCTTCTGTCTGTCTCTCATAAGGGCACACTCCCTATTGCAAAAATTTCTTAAAAAATAAAATTTATTTATTTAATTTATTATTGTTATTTTAAATTTGCTATAAGACCCATGTGATTACCAGGGAGAGACAGAGGGAAAGTGAGAAAGCAAGCCACTAGGTCTGGGACTTGAACCATGGTTGGCCATGTGGGAGTCCGG